TTGCGCTAGACTGAAGAATGATCGGAGAGGCGCCGAACCGCTATCCCCTCTGTCCCTCTGACATTCAATCTTTCGATCCTCCTTCTTTCTCTTCATCCTAACTCGAACCTTCTTCATTACCCGGCTCCCTCTCCTCGTTCAGCCCAAAGACGAGTTCCTTCGTCCTTCATCTCACCCTTTTCCAACTTCCTCTTTCTACCTTTGGTCCAGCTCGCTCTTCCAGGACTCGTTAGATTCACCCGAGGATTATGTTTCGTGCTATTATAGCTCTCTTCGGCGAGGAACACCCGCGCTTCTTCTCGTCTCTCTTCGTCCACCTCGCTCCTCGTGTATGCACAAAACATCGTCGTTTCTTCTGACCACGAAGAGGGCCGCCGGCGCTGATTGATAAAATAGTTGGCTCGTCAGCGCCGAGTGCCGAATAATTGGTTTGTCAGTCAAAGGTGATCGCGTGAAAGGATAATGCTTGTCAACGACGAGACTCGTCGTCGTACTGTGTCTACCAGGAGGTTGCTTTTACACCGTATCTTCGACACGGTATCCTGCGACTCCTGCAGTTTTAACCCTGCCTCGTATGTTTCGGTACTTTACGCAATGGAATAGGATACGAAAAAAAGTATTGTCTAGTTGCAGCAATAGATATAGCACGAATTTGCAACTCAACAATAGTGTAAATAAAATATTACCAAAGAAAAATCCCCGAAGAGAGAATTCATTTTTGTAAGCCTGAATTGTATGTTTCAGTTGCTTGCACTTTAACTCACTATGCACTTATGAAACTAGTATTTCCAAGCTTCCAAAACTTTATAACTCCAACCTGTGATTTGAGTATCTATTATGCACTCGCGTGTCGTATATGTACCATGTATTATTAATAGAAAACATCCATTATAACCGGAAGTAATGATAGCACTGTCTTCGAGTGCTTCTATTTCCTACAACCCGACGATCATTGCACAATATTATTTATAATATTCATGTGAGCTTAGGTTTTCGATACAGGATATTTTTCAACAGTTCAGTATCTTTTAAGACATTGACCAAGCATTTCTTCTGGTGACAGTGGTGAAACAATTAACGTGATGATTTACGTTTAAAGCTAAATTTACGTTTTATAAATTTATACAAAATGACGTTTCCGAGTACGCTTAGTCCATCAGTTAGATATGGTCTTCATTTTATTGGTGTTTGGCCTGGAACTCCGTTGCCAGGGCTGCATAAATTGTGTTGGGTAATAGCCATGGTTTTACTTCAAACTTACCAATACAGATACATTATCCAACATTACCATACCGACAGTCTTTTGGAAATGATAGATAACTTAAGCATTGCTATGCCATTCAGTCTTGTGTGCATTAAACTGATTGTTGCTTGGACTAATCATGAGTGAGTTATATTCTGAAAAAAAATATATATATAATTAGTATTAATGAATTTTATAAATTCTACAATACGCATTTGACGCGTTTAATAAAGCTAGGAAACCCTAGCCAAAAGTCCTAGTTACCTAAGTACTGATAGCTTGAAAATATTATTTCACAGTATACTTCGCGACATTTTATCAACAATGGACGAAGATTGCCAAAAATACGCTGCTATCGATACGAATAATCTGATATCGAAAACTGCACGTATTTCTTTATATTTTACAACTATAGTTATATCAAGTTACGTATTTTCTGCAATTTTCTACCTAACGGGAACATTGGCAATGAACGTCGGTGACAATTCAACTCGACGGCTTCTCTTCCAAATGGATTTGCCTTTTGAGACCAACGAATCACCCGCTTACGAGCTCGTGGTATCCGCACAATTTCTTCATCTTGCAACATCCGCCTTTACGTTTGGCGTGTTTAGCGCTGTTCTCTTAATGGTGGTGGGTATAAACATAATCCTGTACAAAAGTACCTCTCTCCTTTGATTTTAGAAAAGTTTACTTATCAAAGAAGAATGAAATTTTTTCTTAAAATTGTTTAGAATTAAATTTATCATTTGCAGGTACTTCATGTAGGTTGCCATATTGACGTTATGTGTAAAGTGATATTGGATGATCCTCTCAAAAATAAGGAACAAATAAACTTTTTTATCAACAGGCATAATGAAATTATTCTATTTGCAGACAGAATTGAGAAACTTTTTACATATATAGCTCTTAGCCAACTTATGTCGAACACTCTGATCACTTGCTGTGTGGGATACCTTATTGTAATGGTAAATAATCTCTATAAAGTATTCCGGTCTAGCACGGTCGAGTCTAGGGTAACAGGTGCAGCTCGGCTGAGATAAGGAGAGGTTGTAAATTAAACCACGGCACTCTTTTGATGACGCTGGTGCTCGGTTCCACCATACTGTTTTATAGTTACATTTTGAAATATTGTATACAGTAAAATCTGGATATATGCAGCAGAAATTGGGACCCAGACGTTGCATATATCCAGTCGAGGTGTCGATTTTAATGTTGCATATATCCAGCCGAGGTGTCGATTCTGGGCATTTAATGTTGCATATATCCAGCCGAAGTGTCGATTCTGCGTCCGTGCACATCATTTAGACAGGCCGTACACCAAAGATGCATCAAACACGCAATATGCAACATGCGACGTAAGGAATTGTTTAAGAACATTGTTTAAATTTTTCAGGATTAATTTAATTTACGCAATTTACCAACATGTAACATTTACATTACGTCGCATGTTGCATGTTGCGTGTTTGATGCATCTTTAGTGTACGGCCTGCCTTATACATATGCAGCCGAGGTGTCAATTCTATGTTGTTTATTCTATAATTATTGTTTATTTATTCTATTATTATTCTATTATTATTGTTAGCTTGTAAATTACTTTAATTTTCAATTGGAAGAAACTGTTTCATTGAAATCACGGGCTGTTCCTAACATCATAAAGCACCTAATTTGCAGTCAATAGTTCAGCAGCATATTCAAAATAAATAAATAAATAAATGAATATAATTCAAACTATATCGTGTTTAGTATCATTTTAATCAGAAAAATCTCACAAATGCGTTAGTAAAAGTTTTATTAAGAAAAAGTTAAAAATAAAAAAGTTTTATCGTTGAATTAGTATTAGTCACACCGATACGTTTCGGCTCTTTCCTTTCATCATCGGACCTCTCTCTTTCCGCTACTGTCTGTCCCTTTCTACGATCACGCTTGGCTGGTCGTCGCATGTAATCCGAGATTCGACACCTCGCTTGGATAAATGCAACCACTGGGTCCCAATCTTGGTTGCATTTATCCAGGTTTTACTGTATCCAGCCAATCTTTCGTTGCATATATCCAGCTTTTACTGTAGAACACGCTGACACTTTACTCGGTATTCGTTTATATGGTACTGATCTGGTGTTCCGGATCCTTATCTTCCCTTTGGGGATTTCACAACCCCATTGAATCTCGTTATTTCTCCGGTATGGATAGATTTACCTAACCTGACCTGAACGTATTAAGCGCATACGTGTTATCATTTCTTTAATTATTCAGCAGGCTTAGTGTTACTTTAGTATTCTAATTTATATAAAATTCGTATTACAGTCGGTACATACTGAGAACGGACTGCCTCTACTAATCAGATCTGTATTGTTCTATGTTGTTATTTGTTTGGAAGCATTCATATATTGTTTTTCTGGAGAATATTTAAATTCGAAGGTAATTCAATTATGCATACATATTACGTAAAATAACTACCAAAAGAGTCGGATTATTCGAACGTATATGTGTCGGGTACCCGACACATTCGATTGTCCGCACAACCCTGGTGAATAAGCAGATGCCCCAGGTACTCGAGCTTCGGGTGGGATCGGAGAAAATCGGGTAGGGTATGGGTGAAAGTCCGAAGGATACCGAATACTCGGCCGATTTCGCCCGACTTTCTCCGACTCGACCCGACCCGAGTTCATAATCTCGGGTACCCGTACATCCCTAATATATAATATTTAATATACCTAATACCAAAATTAAAATTCTCTTCATTTATAGAGTAAACTGATTGGGAATACGATATACGAAACTGACTGGTGTGATTTGCATCCGAGAGAAAGTCGACTTTTGGTATTTTTGATTTTAAGATCTCAAAAAGGATTTACGTTTACTTGTGGAAAATTTTCCACTCTTTCGTTGGAAAGCTTTACGAGCGTAAGCCACTTACATTATCATTTAATAATTTTAATCCTTTATATGCATAATAGTTTTTCACGAGTAAGTACTAAACATATCGCTGAAATATTTAAAGAATTTCTTTTTATGCATTGATACATAAAACATCGAATATGTGAAAACAGTACCTATATTATAATATTTTATACATAGAATATAAATACAGTAAAATAAATAAGAGTACCATTTTTTTGTTTATAGATTATGAAAATTTCAGCATCCTATGTGTCATTTCTTCTTGCAATATCCTGAAATATGCATAGTTTTCTTTCATATAGATAAATCTATAAATACTTTACCTGGTAAAATATCATTTAATAAACATTTACTATGATGTAAATCTACTTATATATAAATAGAACTGAGCTTAACATCTGTAAGTCGATAATTAACCACAATAAACTACACACGCGCACATATGAAACAGATAGACGTTTCACTGTCTTCAGTTTGGTAAAGTATTAAGTGATACTTAGGTATTCAAGTTTAAGTTTCCTAATGCGACGTTTCCACTAGCGATCTAATAAATTGTTGATCCCTCTGATTTACTATGCACTTGCGTGTCGTATGCACAGGGTACCCTATATTTTTCATGGAAATCATTCATCATTGCAACAAAGTTCAAATTGTGATTTCAACAACTCAGCCCTCGATTTCTGCTGTACCCACGGAATCGGTAATTACTTTATTATTTGCAAAATTTATGTGGACACGTGGACGATTGCAATGGGACAGCTGCCATAGGCATGTGCATCACGCAATAAGTTTTTTCGAAGCATTCAGTTTATCGTAGATCATTGTTCAAGCACGGTGATCGTTCAAGAATCCGCTAATGGTGACAGTAGTGATACCTACTAGTGAAAGAAAAACAGAAGATGGTTCGTATTTAATATGAGCCAGTGAATTGTAAAGGAAAATTTGAGGGGATAAAGGCAATGTAAGAACAGTTTTGTGTAAAATGAAAGTAACGAGTACAATTAGCCCGTCTGTTAAATATGGTCTTCACTTCATCGGTATCTGGCCAGGAACACCATTTCCAATGTTTCATAAAATTTATTGGATATTAATCATTGCTTTCTTTCAAACGTATGCGTACAAATATATTATCCAGTATTTTCAATCTGCAAGCCTTACAGAAACGATTGACAATATCTGTATCACCCTGGCGTTTACTCAGACGAATATCAAATTGATTATTGCATGGATAAATCAACAGTAAGTTTTTCTGGTTTTATTAATTTAAACAAAAATTAATATTCTGTTTTATATGCTTTGATACATGAAAATGTATTTCATTTGTTTACTCGTTTTCTAAATACCTTCAAAGTAGGATGTCTAAGCAATAACAATTAAATTAAATAAACCGAAACCGTCAGATCCATTTATTGTCATAAGAATACGAAAAAGAAAATAATATTATTTTGAATAATATTTTATAGTGTACTTTATAAACTTTTATCAAAAATATGCTTCTATAGATATTAATAATTTGCTGTTGAAGACAGCTGGTTTCTTTTATTGTTTGACAACCACAATAGTTACTCTCTACACGCTGTCTGCAGTTTTTCATGTTGCTGGTACTGCGGCAAGTTTAAGCAGTATCGAGGGGAACGAATCGATATCTTTGTTATTGAAAATGGATTTGCCTTTCGAAACCAACACGTCACCAAGTTACGAGCTCCTGGTAATTGCACAATTTCTTCATCAAACGACAGGGGCTTTTTCGTTTGGTGTTTTTAGTGCCCTCGTCTTAATAGTGGCGAGTGTAAAATAAATTTGATTCGTTTCTAAAATTTTGTATCTAATAAAATTACTAATTGCAGGTACTTCATGCCGGTTACCAAATCGACATCATGTGTCAGACGATAATGGATGTTTCTCTCCAAGATAAAGAACAATTAAAGCTTTTTATTATCCGTCATCAGGATGTCATCGTATTTGTGGAAAAAATAGGAAAATACTTTACTTTCATAGCACTCAGCCAACTTGCTGTTTGGGCTTTCTTATCGTAATTGTAAGTAAAAATATGTATTTATAATTTGTCAGTTTATGAACAATTAATTATTCGTTTAGTTATATTACTGACAATTGATCAGTGCTAGTGGAGGAGTTCCTTTATTAATTAAATCCCTCTTGTTCTACGTTGTTATGTGGCCGGAGAATATCTCAGCGCCAAAGTTAATAAGTAAAATATTACCTATGTAAAATAGTATGGTTTATTGCTTGATAATTTTCAAACTGGAATTTTTGTACTTTGCAATGCATCAATCGAAGCGTTTCTTAATTCCTTACAAAAAAGTATGAAGATACTTGAGTGGAAAATTGATTAGTTCAAAAGATATCTTAGGGAGAAACCACCAGGCTTTTTCTGTCTCTCTCTTTTGCAATAATCAATTTTTGACCCAGGTGTTACATATTTTTTTATAGAGAATAAAAAGACGCTTCGTTTGACGTATCACAAAGTGCGCAACTCCATTTAAAGAAATGAAGATGATTTTGAAGAGTGAATCGCCTCCACTTCCGGTGCCTACATATTACGTCACTATTTAATTCTTTTCAATCACGTTTTTCTTCTGTCGTCTTAACCCTTTCGGTACTATCGCCGCCTATAGTCGGCATCCACGAAACAAGCTACGGAAAAGAAATTGATGTTTGATTATGTCGTAAATGTTTTGAATATTTTACTTAAAAGTTGGTTCAGGTCACCTTTTGCGGCTTACACTGCCGTACAGTGTAATCCCTCTCGCGGAAAACTTTCTCGTCCAGTGAATGTACAACCGCGGCCAGCTCTTCCGTACCGAAAGGGTTAAAGCTACTTCTTGCTATTTTTAGAGTCAAATTATTTGTGAAACAGCATAGAAATGTCTTTGGTACGATTTACATCCGAACGATAGTAAACTTTTAATTAAGTATACGTTGCAAATGAACAGCGAAGAAGTACGCGTATCCACGTAGTTGAAGACGCGCGTTGCCAAAGAGAGGAGATAAAATAATAAACGCAGAACGAACAACAGGGCTGTCTTGACGGACGAAGTTAGTCCGCGTCCAGCCGGTGTACATCATCATTCAAGCCGGTTCCAGCAGCGTCATACTTTCTCACGAAATCATTTTTAACATCGTCCGCACGGTGACACACGTACGCGCACACGTAAAGGGAAGGTGAAACAGCGTATCTCGACGATTTTGAACAGTACAAACATCAATTTCGTTCCCGGAGGCGTGCAACGCGGGACGCAAAAAGAAAATCCTGAAACGGACGTGGATCTCTACGTGGGGATCAGGTATATCCTGGAACAGGCCAGGGAGCTATCCGTCTCGGTCCCTCTGCAGAATGTTAGAAGATATATTATACTCGAAGAGGGTGGTAACACTTGTTTGATTCAATTCCAGGAACACGCTCCGAGGCGCCCCGTTCAATTTTTCTTCCGCCAAAGGAACTTCCCGCCTCTTGCGCGTATAACGTTCGTACATGTTCGCCGCTTATGACACCAATTCGCAGTCATTACGAGGATGTGATAAGAATACGATGCCGGTTAAATGAATCTTTCGGTAATTGATCGGTCTAGATTGCAGGGATAGCTCATTTTTCTTTCTTTCTCGTCGATTAACAACGGTGTTTCGTGTCCGGATCATTTCCGTGATCGAGTGACTCTGATGTTTCTCTTTTTCTTGCCCGTGAGAAATGGTTCGCGAGCGCTGTAACCAATTAGGACACGGAACAGATTCATCGAATTAACATGGAAAATAAATTTCTTTTCTTACGAAAGAAGTCGGTCTTTTTAATAAGGGACGTTCCAGGATAAATTAGGTATTTAAATTTGGCATCATTGTGAAATTGAGAGGGATATTAAAATACAGGGACAGTGAATTATTGAGAAAAAAGAAAAAGGATATTCACCTTAAGAAATCTCCGCATAATACCTCCGCAGTTCAGCGTCAATTAAGCCTCGTTATTAATTTAACCCTAACCTACTTACGGAGCAGCACTTTCAAGGGTACCTGGTACAATACACCGAAACACCGTTTCGACAAAGCATGCACCCGAAATTCCGCGTTATTGCTCTCAAGCCGATTGGAGTTTGAATTACCAGGGTCAATAGACGGTCGATGCAACCTGTTGCGACAAAGTTCCTCCGCCATTCGGGTCCGCCCGAACAAGACCTTCCGAGAATGAAGTGGTCGAGGAGACAACAAGAGTAGGAACACGATTTCGCAATATGATGTCTCGTGACACCGCACGACCGTCGTTCTTACACGAAAAAAAAAGAAAAGAGATCGGGTCCGTAAAAGAAGAAGAGGAAAGAATTACAGGAGCAGATCAATGGGTCAAAGCTGTCGCAATAAAAATCTCACGGCTACCTGGGTGAAACGAGACAGCAGGGTAGGTGGCGATTTAACCAGCATGTTCAGGATCCGTGGCATAATCAGGATGCTAGAGGAACGCTACCTGGTCGTCTGGATCCTCGCCGAGGTGACGAAGAGGCGAGGAGGATAGAGAAAGAATGAAGAACGTGTGATGTCCGCAAGAAAGCGAGGGCAAAAGGTGTCGCGCGCGGTTCCTCACACGGGTCCACGGGCACGCGTTAGAATCCGATTGTGTCCCAGAAGGGAACGGAGAGGGAAGTGAAAAAAAAAAAGAAAAAAAAGAAAAAATACAGCAGCGAGTTGAAGAACTTCTGCCGGTGCAGAAGGAGACGGAAAAAAGGGCAGTGGGTCGGTAGGGAAAAGAAAACGGTTGCCGTCCGAACGAACCTACCTTACCCCTCGTCCTCGACTTTAATTCCTGCTATTATTGAAATACGTGGCTGCCACGTGCCACGGGGCGACTCTCTTCCTTCGCTACCGTTTCTCAGCCCACTCGGATCACGGCAAGGGAGAAGTTCCGCACGCGAAAATCCAGGCTCACAGGTGGAACGAAGACTTCGCCCCAGGTAGGTACCTGCCACCTCCTCCGTGGTCGTTCGCGATTTTGCTACGTGGATGATGGTCGTCCTTCCGGGGGTGTTAACCCTCGTAAAGGTGGAGTTGTCTGTAACAGATGAAAGTAATGAGAAATTAATTAGGTGCGGTTTAAAATTTCAAGCCTTCTACCTTCGACCACGCATTATTATTGTTATAGTATAATAGTAATTTCATTTAAAATAATATTTTTCTATTTTTTTTTTTTTTTTTAATGTTTAAGTATATATAGTTTGATAACGGGTGATATATTTATAGATCCTGAAAATGGTAAAGGTTATTAAAAAAACAGTAACAACTTTAGATAATGAATTAATATCAAATAATAATGGGGTACAAGTCTTTCTTAAGAATCATAAATAAATGATTTATCAAGTTTCAGCGATCAACTATCACACAGGATGTAGTGAAAGGATTAGGAGTGGTAGTAGGGGAGATACGTAAAATAGAGTAAAAAATGTTCTATTAACAAATGCATACTTCTTGTTTTTTAGATTTTTAACAAATCACCTGTCATTAATGTTGGAAAACATTCCAATGGAAATAAGAAAAATAATATGATCCGAAATGACTTTACACTTATTACTAACAAGACTTAAAATTTTTATTTTCAATAATCCAGGTTCGAAAAAATAATTTGCCAAATATTGATTAATATTTGCGATATTTTCCATATCCTGTGGGTGTCTATCATCAATATTATTAAGAATTTCCTGATTTACCCTAATTAAAAAGACTCAAAATGATAAGTAATAGAGAAAACAAAATATCGTGAAAATAATGGAAGGAATTTATTAAAAATTCAAACACTAATTTCATGAAACCTTTAGTGGCACCAAGGGTGGTAATCGAAACGACATACCACCACCTTGTTAAAAGACACCCTGTACATGGTGCAGAAACCTGATCAGTTACGCAAAAGTTGCACAGGCAGCATTGAGTTACCATAATTAAAACGCATAACGGCGTTAAAGGAAACGCCTAAGTAGACTGTAATTGCAACATTCTATCGTTCTTGCCTCTCGGCTCGGCTCGAAACGCGACAGGATAATCCAGTTGGTAAACGGACGAGGTGCATTAAAGTTCCTACCCTCGCTTTTGGCTCTCTTCGTCGATAACGATAATGACAAACATTATCACGGAAGTTTATCAATGCAAACACGCGTCGCCGCAAACACTAGATTAGATTCACTCACCGAGTAAATTTTCGAGCAAGTTTATTCAGATAAAGAAAAGAAAAAAAAAAAGAAGAAGAAGAAGAAGAAAATAAGAAATACCTCGATAATCGACTCGTTTCCCAGCCGCAAAAAATTCTATCGTCACGACGAACCTGCTGATTATCTTAATCGTCGAAAGAAAATAAAAAAGAAAAGAAAAATAGTTACCCTGAATGATTTACAACGTACGGGATTAAATCGAGTTGCAGTAAGCATCATCACGCACATGCTCGTTTTGCGGGTGCGACTACAGATCACCGATAAACACGATCCCTCCATACCTCGGTGTCATAATATTACAGCCATTATGGTAACAACGTTTTCCTCGCAGCATCGTTGCGTTTAATGCTTATGCATCGTGATTTGTGATCTCGCCTCGCCGCGGACGACCATGAAAGGATCGTTGTGCAAGTACAGCAACAGGGTTGCTCCGTAAAGATAACTTGTAGCAACCGCTCGTTTCTTAATGCAGTTGTCAACGAGATAGTATGTCAAGTGTGAATAAGTATGATTTAAAGTGCTCGCTGTTTATATTTCTTCTGATCCGTGTTATTTGTGAAAATTATGACCGATATACTTTTTAGATCGTCAGTGGAACATAGTCGGTAGAAGCTCTTTCAATTTTTTCACTAAAATTTGCATTTGAATTTCTAAGGGAGAGACTTTCACATATTAGAAAAATAGTATATCAATATAGAATTTGGAAAAGTAGAATAAAAAAGAATTTAATATGAAATGTTGAAAATCTCAATTAGAGTACACAGTATTATAATTTTAATATTGTTTGATAAGTGTACAGTATCGAGCATGATAGGATTTCCCGGAGAAAATGACGA